AACCCGTCACCAAATGAGGACGTGCTGCTTGGCCTGGAATTAATTTCTGGCGCGGCTCTCATCTCGCCTAACTGCCCCGAACACATTCATGGAGAAATAATCTCATCTGCTGCCTTTCTTTTCTTACTTTTTCTTTTACTAAGTATTTCAGTGTGTGTTTGTATAGCAGAAAGATAAATGAGGAAACCCGAGATTAAAAGTAACTTGTGGAATAAATTACYGTTGTTCTGTTTCTTGTTCGTGTCGAAGCAGATTTGTTTCTTTTAGGTTTTTATCTTCCAAACAGTGTTTTCTTCCTCAGAGCAAACAGAAGCCATAAAATGACAGATTTTATTTCTTCCCATTTTATTTTCATCATTTAGTTTCCTGTAGCATGACATATTTACCTAAAATGGAAGAATATGACACTGCTATGCCYAAGTTAGAAATAATAAATTTATCCTTTAGCTTCCTTAAATGATTAGATGCTTATTAAAAGATATTTTCGTCTGTTTCTTTAATTGATTTAGTTCAGATAAATAAGTAATGTTTGTAGTAATAAAACATCAGTGAACCTTTACTCTCAGCTGCCTCTGGGTAAAAGTGAAGGTGTGTGTGTTTCCTAGTAATTAGTTTACAACCAGGAAACTTTTGTAAAATGATCTTAAAACTTCATTTAACCACATAAAAATAGTTTATAGTACATTCTGTAAATGGTGAATTCATTGAAAAATAACATTTCTGTTGTCATTTTGTGGCTTAGTGGTATAATGTACTACCTGTATACTGTTGAACTATCTTGTGTTTGTTGGTGCTGTGTTATACTTTGTACTACAATGTGTAACACAGCAGCAACCACAAGACATGAACGTCACATTTACACAATACATCAGTCAAGAACACAAAGGATTAAAAGACCCAACATTCCACAGTTTGTGCCACACAACAATACTGGAAACTCAACTTTAAAAATACCTGAATAAATAGTATTAAAAACGTTGAACAGCAGGGATTTATTTTGGAAAAATTGCCACTTCAATTTGTAACTCTTTCCTGTGGGTGACAAGCTAATGCTAGCAAACATATAAATTAACCCTCGAAAAAATACTGGCTGGCTTTAGCAAACCTACAAGCTAATTTTGCAAACGCACGAGCTAACGCTGGCAAACGCACGAGCTAACGCTGGCAAACGCACGAGCTAACGCTGGCAAACGCACGAGCTAACGCTGGCAAACGCACGCTCTTAACGCTGGCAAACGCACGCTCTTAACGCTGGCAAACGCACGCTCTTAACGCTGGCAAACGCACGCTCTTAACGCTGGCAAACGCACGAGCTAAGGCTGGCAAACGCA